AATAGTTAACAAATTAGAGTCAGGATGAGGCCAACATACAGGTCTGGACCTGCTCGGTACAATTTGACCAAAATCAACAAACACAAAAAGGGGGAAAACCCACACACATACGACTTACCTACAGACTAATTCACTTCTCCCCTACCACTGCTAAAATAATGACATCCCAAAGACATCACAACCTTCTCCTGTTAGACCATCTGAGTCCCACAGTGGTAATGGACAGGTGCCCTCCTCCTGGGAGAGCTGATTCTGAGCTTCAGTTAAAGCAGATTTCATTAGTCTTGAAGCCAACAGGCTTCACAATTATTCCTTGTTTCTTTCTCTGTGTGTTTGGTCACTGAGTCTTGTTTCTCTCCGCAGGGGAGTCTGCTCACTAAACCTGCTTGCTTATTTAAAACTCAGCAGCCTCAGCCCACTCCCATTTTGCCACCTGAGACCAAGAACCTGGAGTCCCTGAGTCATTAAAAGCAAGATGCAATTAGTACCAACACTGACTGGCTCACTCCCTCCTATTCTGTGCCCATGTCTGAAGCTCCTTCCTTTGTGAGCCCTAATGCGTGTTTAATGTGCAACTTAATTATTTGATTACAATGGCGTAATTATGTAATTGTAATGTATTGTGCAAGTTGGCTGGAAGGAGACGGGAGACATTTGCTGAGTGACGTGGGATAAACAGAATAACAACAGCATCAAAGAAAAAGAATAAATCTAATGAGATGATAATTTGGAGGAATAGTTAAGAAAATGGGCACTTTGAAAAATGAAAAGTAGCTGGATTTTTTTTTTTTTTAATCTTTTTAATTAATCTATTCTTTCCTCCCGCCCCTTTGTGATCAGCGGGAAATTTCCTTCTCGTTGCCAAAGCGCGAGCGAGCACGGCTGTGCTGGAAGAGCACAGCCAGGCAGGCTCCCCCGTCCCTGCCACACTCCTCCGAATGTCACCGCTTCTAGAAGGACAACCTAAAGGCGTGCCCAAATCGTTCTGAGCTGGCTCAAAAAATGGTAACACTGCGAATGCACACACGCTTTACTGGATTACAGGCATATAGGCACACCTCAGCCGCGACCATGTGCAAGCCAATGAGGCTGAATAACCTCTCACTTGCCTTGGAAATATGAGTAGATGCAGAGAGTTGGTTCATGGCAATTTATCACAGAGCAAGTACCTGGATGAGCCCTCTGGGCCATCTCAGGGTGACACACTCTCTGACATCTGGACTTTGGATCAGAACATTCATGTCCATGGACTGAACCCCAAAATGAGGGGAAAACCACTGGAAGAATATAATCAAGGTAAGCAACAGACACAGGGGAGCTCATTGCAAGAATTGCAAACCACGTCTTGGAGACAGACTTTGAGTCCGGCTTTGTAACCTCCCTGGTTTCTCCTCCTCTCCTTCAAAATACTTTAACAACTCCCTTTCCCCCAGCAGCAAGCACATTCTTAAGAAGACCGCATCAATAAATGAGAGTACCAGGAGCCTAGACAACCACAGTTCAGCTTACTCACCCAACTTCTGGTGAGGTACAGTCCACCTGCAATGTCCCAGGTTTCTGTGGGAGACACAAGCCCATGGCAAGTATTTTAGGGAGACCTCTGAACCTGTTTCTCATCACTAATGAAATGATAGCTGGCAGAAGGCTTGTACCAGTAAAGCTTTCCATAGCAAAGGTTTCTCCAGTCAGAGCTCAGCTCCTACAGCGCTGGCAGGTAGGCACAAGCCAATGCCAGAAGAGAGATCTGTACCCATGACTCTTGGCAATTGCACACACAGCACACACGTGGTTAAACTGTTTTACAGATGACACATTTATATACAACTGGGGTTACATTCGTGGCTGTTTCAGCCAAGTTTCTTTTTTGCAAACCAGCCTTCCCAAGCCAAACTTTGGTAAATGTGGGATTCTGACCCGTTTCAACAGCAAGCTGCGGTCTGATCTTGTCAAAGCACAAACTCCAGAGTAAATAATACTGAAACTGTTCCGATATTAGTAAAGCAAACAGAGGCAATGACAACCTACTGCCTATCTATCTGCCAGCTATCCAAATAAGATTAGTCAAGGAGCAGACTCCGTGATATGGAAGTGGTCCCTCGGTCAGCCAACGCCAGTAAAAGCAAGTTCTTGTGATGATGCCAGCCAGGGAGATATGTAACCAAATAACCATAAGTATATGCAGACTCAATTTGCCAAAACTTGTATCACTAACTCCTACATAAGACCTGATTTCAGTCCAGGGGGTGTTTACATCAAGGTTAACTGCATGCTATATACAATTACAGTACAGCAAAGCTTCACTCCCCAGTTTGTCCATGGAAAGAACTGCAGGAGCTACTGGGAGGCTCCATCCTTTCCCAGAAACACACATTTTGGAACAAGCCCCCTCTCTGAATCTGGATCAAACAGCACAACCATCAAAAATTCTGCCATCTCCTAACCTGCAGTGAGACAATGAAATATTTTCCACCAAAATAAGGAATCAGCACTCTGAGACAATACTTCAGCACAAAAATGTTTGTCTGGAGTTTACTTTTTAAAGAATGTCATCTGAAGTTGAGGTAAAATCACTTATGTATTTAAATCAGGAAAAAAAAATTACATGCACTCTCAGCCTCAAAAAAAAAAAAAAAAAAAAAAAGTGCATTTAATGGAATCCTATCAAAGCAGACTTGACAAACCCCACACATTCCATTACGCTACTTTACAATAAAAATGACAATAAAACTTTCTGTGCTGAAGATTTTTTGTTGTTTGGCTGACTACAAGGTAAAAGAGACTGCAGATTGGCTTTTGCCATCAAGGATTTCCAGAGCTTCTCTTTCAAAAGAAATCAGGGCTATCAGCTTTAAAACCTACCACTGATTCTTCTGCCATTCCAGAAGAATTCATTAACATTTTGCTCCCAGACAAAAAAAAAGAGAGGTCTTCTCCTGCGGATCTGGGCAGCTGCTGGGCCCCCCAGCAGCATCCATCACCCAGCATGTGAGGTCTAAAATTCCTCCCATTGCAGCAGAGTGTTTGTATGCATTTCTAAGTGTCTGAGAATTATTATGTTGTGCAAAGGCTTGTCTAACTCTTCAGGGAGGTCACACAGACATGTTATATATTCAACAGACATGCAATAAACACAATTTAGCACCACCTACCCATATCCAAATACTCTGGTTCTTGCTCGCAGGAAAAGAAAAACAAAACAAAATTTTAATAATGCATCAGCGATGGTTTTGATTGTTAGTAGATCTGCAGATTCGCTTGGGGGGTGGTGTGACTTTCGTTGCACATACACACACCCCCAAGCAAGCCACCGTCCTGACAGCGATGGACAGATTGATGCAGAGGAGAAGAGCACAGAACTCAACAGGGGACAAGACTGAGCGTGACCTCCCCACACGGATGATGCCAGGCTGAGGGCTGGAAGGCTGCCGGCAGCCTCGCTGCTTAACCCCAGCCGGTCCCTGATCTCCCATCACAGCTGGTGCACATGCTGGCCTACACAAAGACAAAACTTGGGATGCATGGAGATTTAGAGACTTGCTTTTTCAAAGGAGTGAGCCTCACGCTCCTACTCTGGCATGATCGCTTATAGTTTCCCTGTAGTGAGGGCTCTAGCCCTCTGTCAGGGAAGAAAAACTGGATTAATACTGCTAATTAAAAGGGACAGAGAACATGGTGGTTAGGACCAAACATCTTCTCTTTAGTGGTGAAAATGCATACAGCATGTCCCAGTAATCTAATTAAGATCATATAACACAATATGAACTACTGTCTAAAAACTTGTATGCAAACACTTGACATAGCTCTGTATCGCCATCGTATGTCTTCACATCCTTCATGCTTGCCCATAAACTGCTGAAGTTGGCACATGGCCTCTCGCAGGGTTTGAACCAGACCTTTATCACACTGGCCACGAGCACTGGCAGAGGATCTGCAGGGCAAAGGGACTGAGATTCAATGCATATAGTTTTAACTGAAGACTTAACGGACCTCAAGGCCAGGGAAGACCACTGAGCTTATGGGCTCCAGTGCCCTGGGAACACAAGATAGATAGTCTTTCCCAGAAGGCTGATTGGGCAGGAGCAGTTCTTTCAGAAAAAGCATCCAACCTTTCAAAGGCTCCACTGCCTCTTTCGGGAAACAGTCCAAAACTTTACAGACAATGCCCATAAAGAAAATTCCTCCGGGACAATTAAACACCAAGGTACCACCTCCGGCTGAGGAGGCCTCCCTGGCATTGATGCCAGAGCTGGAACAGGACACTAGGAGAAGCACCACTGTACTTTTACCACGTACCCTCTTAACTTTTCACTAAGTGTCTGCTACCGTGCACTGCTTCCTAATGTCAGAGAGAGGATATTGGACGGATGACTCCCTGCTCTCATATCACCCTCTGAAAGAAGCTGGGCTCTTGTTTCTGGGTTGGATTTTCTATTGGTTCTTTGTATCTTAGGCTAATGAGTCCTCTCTTCTCAGAAAGAAACACAGATCCTCTCTCCTGCTTGTAGACCCCAATCCAGCTATCTTAGCATGGCATGACTACAAAACATTGATCTTTTTCCATTTATCTAGTAATGAATACGTTGCTTTCTGATCCTGACCAATTGCATCCCATCCTCCTCTCCACTACTAGATGAGCTGCTTGGCCTCTCCTCTGCCCAACCCACAGGTAAATAATTGGGGGGGGGGGGGCGGGAAATCCAACCACACTGTTTCTTATAGACAACCAGCTTTCCATGTAAGCATTAAATATCAATTATACAAGAAGCCATGCGGTGCTTTAATTATAGCCATGAAAAATCATCCCATTAATCAAGTTTCTAATCAGCTAGTTTCTCATAATAAGGTGGCAACTGTTATTTTATCGATTAACTCTTAACAAGCCACCTAGATAAATCAATCCTACATTTTTTTGCACATATCCTCTTTTACAACAGGAAAAATTCTCCCTTTATCAGGGACTTGCCTGAGTTCAAAATAAGCTCCTTACTGCTTCTTCTTGACAGTGTTGCTGCTTCCCTCCGGGGCTTGTTCTTCATGGCCACAAAACAAGCTCCTTGCTCTCATACCCACCATCCTAGCCCAGGCTCCATGGAAAGGGCCTCGTCATCTTTCAAAGCTGTGATTTAGGAGGTTGGGTCCACTTCAGATCAAAAAGAACTGCAAAAATAAAGGGTGATACAAGAAACAGAGAGCTTTGCCTTTTGAGAGGAGATGAAAAGAGCTCAGCTCACTTAGTCTAGCAAAACAAAAGCCAAGGGACATGGCTGTGGTCTAGAAATACATGGAGAACTGGAGAAGGGAAAAAAGGAGGGAGGAAACAAGGGTGAGAAAGAGCCATTTCAGTCAAAGAACAAATGAGAACAAAGCAGCTGTGAATTAATATAAGCTGGAGTTTAGAAATACACGCTAAGAGGCTCAGAGCAGAAAGACTTTCTAACAGGCTTCCCTTGGGAGTCACTGGGCAAAACCTAAACAAGGTTTTTGCATAACTTGAGCTGCACATGGGAGAGGCATTACTGCAAGGAGTTTGTAATGGTTAGGCATGAACGCAGGGCTCCAAGGAGCCTGTCCTGTCTTCAGAGAGGGTTTTCTGGGATCCACATCCAGGCTAGACATGAAGCCACTTGATTAATTATTGCCTCTGCTGACTTCTCCCACCTACTGCTCAGTTCAACACAATTATTCAGGATCAGCTCATAATAACCTATTGAAGAGGTACAGCTTTTCATTTGCATAAGCAGTTTCAGCCAACACAGTCTGCTGAGACAGAAAATATACACTGAATATTTAGCAAGTCTGACGGCATTTTAAAAGCATGTGATAGTACACAAGTGATGACATCATGCGTTTCTCATGTTTCCTGAAGCTGAAGAGTAACATGGCACAGAACTTTTAACCCAAAATTGATTGAAGCAGTGTTTAAAAAAAAAAAAAAACAAGCAAACAAAAAAAAAAAATGCAGAGCGTTTCTGGATTTTGATGCAACTCCCAGAGAACCTCATCTAACGATATCAAAGTTTATACAGAACTGCAAAACCATTTCCAAACCCCTTGAGCAGGAATAGAGATTAGAGACAAGTACCTTGCTGCGCCTCCCTGAAAAGGTGTAACAAGCTAGTATGTTAAGGTCCAAATTTGGTTTGACCCACAAACCCGCTGTCAGATCAAGCCACATATAACCCACAGCCTGCTGTTCCAGTCTGGTAGGTGGCTGTGTTACAGCTTTAGGAGCTTGCCCAGGTTTCGGAGGAACCTGTTCCTTGCTGGGGTTGACTACTGAGCACCCACAAACAGAGAGGTTTGCAGACCTGTACATTTTTTGCTGTTGTGACCTCTTCTCCCACAAAATGCTAAATATCCCTCCGGCTGAGGTGCCTCAATATCACTGGAAGCAAAAATCCCCACATGCCCTTTCCTCTGTCGCAGTGCTCTTTTCTTGGCTCTTATTCCACACATCCTACAACTGCTTGAGCAACCACTAGCCCATTAAAGGATGCAAAAGGACAGCCAGCAGCACACATCTGGCTCAGGTTGATGCAGCGTTACACAATCCCTTTTGAGCTCTCAAACCTTCCAACCCTATTTATTTCTTCCACTCATTTGGCGCTACAGTAATACCACACATTACCCCAGCATTAGGAATAACAGCCCAGACCAAAAGGGAGGCTGCAATTGCACAAATGCCCGTTTGCCTCCACCACCTTTCTAGCTGGTGTGGTCACCCCTCTCTCCCACTCTTGCTCCCATCCAACAGCCAGAGCAAAAGCATTTACAGCACCAGCAACAAACGGCAATGTGGTGTGAGCTCCAGCAGAAGAGAGCAGAGCTAGCACAGGGGAATGGCTGAGCACGCTGCCCAGTGCTGCTGTGCAACCAGCCGGGAAAGGGTACAGGGTGCAAACAAGCTTCTGCTGCCTGAGGGACACCCCCACACCCGTCCTGGCTGCTCTGAGACCCACGTGTCAGGCGTGTCTGACAAATCACACCTATGAAGGAGAGGCACCTGCGCTGAACAGCCGCATCCGATGGGGCTTGAGAAAATCCAGCCGGCAACGGATTTAACGCCGGTGCTGATCCTGCTGGCAGCCTGCTCGGCCTTTTATCAGGGGTGCTGGGCACTGAAGCTCTCTGCTTGGAGAAAAAACGAGATTAACGGCAGGCTGAGAAATACAGCAAATCCCCGCCTGAGCCTCCAGCGTCCCAGTCTGTTCCCGATATCCTCACACCCATCCTCTCGCCTCTGTGTAGGTGCAGTTGGGTCAGGAGAAAGTTTTGCTCCTTGCTGGTTGGACCGAAGCTGTCAGGAGGCACGTTTACATCGAAAAAAAAAGCATTTATATACTAGTACGTGTCCAGGACAACCACCCTGCCCTCTAATTTTATTTTTAACTGATATAAAATAGGAAACCTTTCCCTGTGAACACCTGTTCCCTCAGAGAGAACAAGGACAGTAAATAGACACCTGCTTTTACTGAAGTCCTGCCATATGCTACAGTTTCCCCCCACACACACTCCTACCTTGTGCACCCAACATCTTTGAATATACTTACACGCACTAGAAGGAAAAACCACAAAACCATCCCAGAACAAATTTTCTCCTAAAGAGTGCAAGCGCCTGAGTCTGTAGAGAATAATAAATGGCTCCTCTGTGCCGTTTCCCCTACCCACCCTCCCTTGGGAAATCTTGTTCATCCTCAGAAATGCTTTCACTTGTGTGGCCTGGGACAGCATCCCCCAGCAGGGAATTAAACCGGGGGGCAGGTCTGCAGGCAGGCGCTGGGGAGGACAATAGCGAGCGGGAGGGAAGGGGGCTGCAGAAGCTGCAAACTTTGCCAGGCATCGCTCAGAGCTGGATAAAGGGAGAGTAACGAGCTGGCTGGAAGTGTCAGCACGGCGAGAGCCGTTTGATTTATTCTCCGCCGCAGCAATTATTTATTCATAAATTAAACAAAAAAGAAAAAAAAAAAAAAAAAAGGAACCAGACCGGATGCCTGCTCAGAGGTGGCATTTGTGGGAGGAAGGAAGGTACAAGGACCCCACCCAGGGAGGGCTGTCTGACACTTCTCCTTCCCCTACCCACAATCATAACCTCTGATTTAATTATCTTGATGGGAACGGGAGGAAAAAAAAAAAAAAAAAAAAAAAAAAAACACACACAGCAGAGGCAGCGGGGAGATCAGGCACTGTTTTCTCAGTCAAAGACTTCTCCCAGTGCCCAGCACAGCAGTTTCAGGCTCCCCAGCTCCCCGTGCCTGCTGCCCTGGACCTCCCCCTGCTCCCAATCCCTTGGGAAAAAGCCACAGCCCGACAGTCCCACTATTCTCCCCCTGCCAGCAGAAAGCCTGACTCGTGCCATGCTGCTCAGTCCCACGCTGCCCACGGGGCTGGTGGAGGGATGCTTCCCCCCGCACCCCATTCACCGAGATGCTCCTCACCCCCATCCAGCCATGTTGGCAAGGGGGACCCCACCAATGGGGATACTCTTGGTACGACTAGACTAGCAAGGACAGGCTTGCGTGTCAAAGAACAACTGAAAATGCCCAGGGAAACAAAGAGAGAACAATTAAATGAAACCGCTGACTACCACAGAGATCAATGCCATTGAATAATACATTTTTCAGGCCAAGCCTTGTGCGTCTTGCAGGCAGTCTGAACGAGCCAGGGAGAATTTGGGCAGACTTTCAGTACCGATGAACCCAGGCACGGCCTCCCAAACTGCCAGGTTTTGCTCCGGGATCTGAAGACAGCATGCTTTGGGGAGCAAGTATTTGCCTGCTGGCCCTTTCACTCTCAGGAATCTCATTTTCCAGGACATCAACAAGGCCGGGAGAGCTAGAAATGTACATTTGCTTTTTAGTGACAGCTGAACTACATGAAATCTGGTTCTGGGGCTCTAGGAAAACACAGTAAATACCGTTAAGACTTGCAATAAAACTACTCCTCTTGGCAACAATAGGCTTTTCTTACCCACTGCTCCTCCGGGCTCCTTCACCTTCTCTCACTCATGCCCAGCAGCTTCATCTTAGCTACCAGAAACCAGTGTTTGGAGCTCAGCTATTGATTCCAGAATTATATATGAGAGCAGATCAGTCTCCTGCCCCAGGAGAAGGGGAGGACAAGGCCCAACAGAGCCCCAGCAGCCCAACAAGGGGCTTCCATGCACAGCCCAGGGCAGAGGAGCCCCTCGCTGCACGGCCAAGAAGGTGCTTCATCCCAAACCCAGATGATCCCCACTGCGCATTAGCCTGGCTCCATGCTGCTATGCAAATGGGTTTGTCGAGCATAAGTGGATTTTGCCTTCTCAGAGGGAGAAAACTAATAGGTGAGAGAGATCTCCTGGGTCAGCAGTCCCAGGTCCTCGCTGCAGCAAGTGATGCCCTGTGCAAGCCCATATGCATTTAAAATTGACCACTACCCTAGAATGTTGCACCAGCCACTCAGCACCTTCCTTCTTCCAGCTGATACAGCTGTCAGGACAGACTCTTGCAATATCCCAGTGGCAAGGAAGAGGTTAACCCATCCCAACAGCAATAGGGCAGTTAAACCATCATGCTCTCCCACACCCCCTGGCCATGCTTGTGTTTTGTCCATGCTGCCTCTGGCTCACCAGCTCTCCAGGCTCTGGCCATTGCAAAGACTGAGATTTAAAGATTGAGCACGTTTAAATATTAAATGGGGGAAATAAATAATAAATAGAATGAAAAATATTTTTTATCCCTAAGTGGGGACATCACTCGCAGAAACAAAAGAGGCCAGGGCTGTAAAATGCCACAGCAAGCAAAAGTACCAGCCTTACCTCCACTCTACTGCCACAGAGTCCTCCACAGAACTTGTCAGGAATTAAAACGAGAAACACACAGCAAATGATGAGCAGGGTTTTTTCCCCAAAACCACGGAGGTGTGCAAAACCCTCACTCCTGAGCCCAAAAACTCCTCTCACTCAAGGCTGCCCCTGGATCTGGTCCCTGTGCGAGGAGGAGCCAGGCAAGCTCTCCACCCCCACGGAAACAACCCACGCTGGCTTAGAGGAGCAGGAGCTTTGTTGCGTTGTCCTTAGGATGGCACTGGATGCCTTTGAGTCACGGAGGCTGTGACTGCTAGGAGACTTGAGGATGCTCCAGAAATCAGGCGTGCCAGTTATCAGGATCTCCTCTTCTCGGCCTGGAAGCCCCCAGTTGCAACATCTGTCATGCCTTCATCACTGAAGAGGACAGCAAGAAAGCCTCACTCCTCAGCATCAGTCAGTGTCCCTCAGAAACACAATGAAACACAGTTTTCAGTCCATTTTGAAGCACAGTAGAGCGATGGGAGCGTGCAGCCCCTCAGTGCCTAGAAGGATATCTCTCAAAAGCTCCTGCAAATGGCTCCGCAAACTTTAGTGACAGCATAATTGCACATTATCTCCTACAACTTCTCTTTGACAATTTAGGGGACAATACAAAGAGCAAAGAGACTCTAATATTCATATTGACATTTCCCCAAAATGCATCCTTTCCTGATAAAGCCATTGTCTTATGAATATGGAAAACTTGCCCGGAGGCTTTGCTTAAATGCAGTGTGTTAGTATTTAATCAGAAGAGGTGGAGTGGTAGCAACCTCTATACAACAATGGCCCAGCACTTTTTAGGATGTTCGAGACGTTTTCCATTTTCATGGGCAATTCTGTTTACAATCCTTCCTCTAAAAGGGTTTATAAAAGATTCACTCTGCCTCGGTATTTGAAACGAGTTAGTCAGAAAACAGGACTTCGTCTCCTATTCATCCCCTGTGGGAATTTCTAATGAAAACCATTTTTTGTCTAAATTTTTCCATAAGAAAGAAAAAAGAAAGATTTTTTTTTTTATTATTTTTTCTTCCTGGTTAAAAAAAAAAAAAAAAAAAAAAGACATGAAAACTAAAATACTTCAGCCACAGCCCAACATATTGTCAATTGAAATGACTGCCAGAATGCCTAAGAAGAGCTGCAATGGAAGAGCCAGCATAGGGAAGCACAATGTTTTATGTACTGAGTGGTGGGCTACCAAAAATGATACAAGGTTTTGGTTGGGAAACCAGTTTCTGTGGCTTTCTGCGAGGTCAAGAATTTCAAAAGCTGTCAATACCTTCAGGTGCACATCTCCTAGGAGTAAAGAAGCTGGATTTTCTGAAGGTATATACTTGGAATCTTCCAAAAAGCAAAACTGTCAGCAACCAATAACTTGAGTTGATGGATGAGTAAATGCTTGGGCCAAATTTGGAGAAAAAGAACATGTCTTTTTTTTTTTTTTTCCCTACCCCAGAGTAAAATCCATGGAAACCTGTGGGATTTTTGCCCCAGACTTCAGCAGAGCCAGGACTTTACCCATGTGGTTTCTCTTCACGGTTCATAGATCTGTCTCCACATCCATGAGGGACACCTGCCACCACAGCTGCCAGCTCTGATGTTGACAGCCACAAGAATGATATTTCCCCCTGGCTCCCTCGCTTAGCTCTTTGGACACAGATACCAGCAACCAGTTGGTTTCCTTTAATGCCACCGCCGAGAAGTCTGATTTTGACAGATTTATATTTAGAATGGCTTTATTTTTTTTTTTTAAAGGATTTCTGTTTACCTTCTGGATAGAGCTCCAAGTTAACCTACAGAGGCAACCACTGAACCATGGAAAACAAAAAAAAAGTAAAGAATGTGCTAAAAAAAATCCATAGTATCTGTAATACCTCAATTAAGGAAGCATAAGTATTGAAGCCTGAAGTATCTTGAGAATCTAAGCCATCAATTCTGACAGCAAAAGGTGCCACTACTAGAGATGGGAAAAAAAAATCTTTGTCTTTCAGACATGAGCAGGGAGTACCTCTGGAATATCTCCCTGAAAAGACCAAAAAAAAAAAAAAATTAATGGTATTATTTTAAGTTCTGTTGAAATCCCCAATTTTGGTCTTATGTTCTGTCTTTTAGTTTTCTACTGGCAAAGCTGTTTTTTCCCGATCCCATAAATATTCTGATTTTTCAGTAATGCTGGAAAGGTTTAAAAGAAAAGTTTATTCTGCTTTCACAAGCTGGCCAACTGACAGGGATGCAAGCATCTTGAGTATAAAGGGGGTAAGCAAACATCTGGTCATGGTCCAAATTTCAGAGAGTAGGGCAAGAAAATCTGTTCACAGATGACACTGGTGAACTAGAAAACACCTTCAAAGATGGTCAAGCACTTACTCAAAGAGGCTGGGAATGGTAATTATGTGAAATAGCTGCAGTTCAGGGATCATTTTGCTGTCAGGTGCTCTTTCAGTCCAGCTTCTCCCTCTGAAATGCAGCAGAACAGAAAGCATTGGTATTTGGAAAGCATTGGTATTTGGAAAGCTTTTTGTTTCTCCACCCACGAGTTCCCTGGACAAGCCCCCTCCAGAAGCTAAATCCTTCCATTTGATGTCCTTCCAGGTCACCAGCCAATCTGTCACATCCCTGGTGTGACCTGGCTTTTTAAGGAGCCAGGAAGCGATGGGGAAGCGCTGCTTTAATACGTGCAAGCGGCAATACAGCAAACCGCGGTCCTCGAAGGCAGCATCGCTGCAAAGCAGCGGCCGAAAGGCACAGCTGCTTCCTCAGCCACCGGAGGTTTTTGTCCCCGTGATTTCATATGCAGGAGGATGGGTTTTCTTTTTCCCCAC